ATTATCGAAATTAATCAAATACCTAGCTAGATCGTTTATTATAAATTTCATTTTTTTTGTTGTGAATAGATTATCAGTGTATATTACATTTTGATGGATCACTCTTAATTTATTTTATTTGATCACATAAATATCGGTACAAGGGGGTACTAGATGCATATGCACCACACAATAACAATGAGGATGGAAAGAGAAAAAAGAATATAAGGTGCGTATAAGAAGAAAGAAAAAAAGAGTACAATAACGGCCACAGATTAGTGTTTGGTAGTGTAATAATAATAATAATAATAATAATAATAATAATAATAATAATAATAGGGGAAACGGAAAGGTACAACCAGAAAAAATTCTTTCAGTTAAGGAAGTTATAACCACTTTTTATGAAGAAAGTAAAAGAAGGTTACAGCACGATCGCCTTCAACTTCGTAATTCATAATAGCATTTTATCCAAACTGATATAGATTTACTGTTACTTATATATATACTTGTATGGTGCTAATACAAGCACAACTTCGAAATATACTGGTAAAAAGTGTTTCATTGATTACTTCTTTTTTCTATATTAGAGCTTACCCAATCAGAAATTAGCAGCTTATTTAATGCAATGGATTTAGAAAGATTAAGGCGTTATAGCAGGTCACTTGTTGATTTCCATCTTGTCAATGATCTGTTACCTCGTTTAGCTCAAATTTATTTCCAAAGACGTCTGCCAAATGTGCGTTTAAATAAAACTCAACAGGTAAACATAGTAATTTTATTGATTTAAATATAAATATATTTCTGAAGTTTCTGACATTTTGCAACCTAACGTGATGTGCTTCTCTGAATAAGTAATATCAGAAATCGCGAATTTCTACTCATTGAAACTACTAATGTACGATTGTTTCTATTATTAGCAATATAACCAGTACTTCTTTTATTTGAAATTATCAAGTTAGACCTTGATAGTGATAATTACAAATTCATAGTAATTTTATGAATGATATGTAGTTCATATCATCACAAAACAATAGCAAAAGTGTCTTCCCACCTTATTATTCCTTATGTGAAACTAACGATTATGTGAACCAATGTACGCGTATGCCATGTCTTATGTTTTGAATGATTGATTATTAAGTGGGGAGTGGCTTTATGGTAAAAGCGATCGCATTTTATTTGTACGATCTCAGGCCGAAATCGTGCTTATATTAGGAGTTTAAGTAGTATTACAATCACTGGGTTTATTATTTTACTGAAATTTTTGTGTTACAAACCGAATAGGTAAAGCATTAACAACTCTCACATAACAAGTATGGCTCGAAGTCGAGTACCTAAGTCTATACTGTATAGATATGTTACATATTAACATTGTTTTTGAAGCTGTCTGACTTCTCGTACAACATATCCGGAAAACTAATTATTTCCTTTGAAAATTAGTTTAATAACTTCCACTTTTACAAATATCGTAAACTAAGTGTGCATTAAATTAAGTTTCATCTTTTAGCCAAAAACCTTTCAATCTTTAAATAAACATCCAAATATATGTCAATAGTTAGTGTACTCTTGGCTACCAAAATTGTGAATTATTATAGCAGTAGGAACGTTTTGTTTTCATATTATTTTCTCGGGGAAAAATGATATTCTACGAGTGTGTTTGGTTTTATTCCTCAGTAATAAACGCAACGGATTGTGTTAGGCCGTCAAAGAATAAAAGATAACGGAAACTGATCTATGTGTGGTAATTTGCTCTTGTTGTTGGTTGAATATTGTTTTGATCCACTCTTATAATCATCAACCTACCCACTTCTGATATATGTGAAGAATGTAATTGTACATTGTTTTATTACAATCACATGATGAAGCTTTGTTTTTATTTATTCATGTATATACCATGTCAGTTGTCTAACATTTTTTCCATGTAGGTTATCCTATTATGTATGGGTTTACAACATAAAACAGTGGAACAAATATCCAGTGAATTTAGTCGTTTACTTGGTGATTCTACTCGTCCTCAAATTCGAGTTTCTGGACTTTCACGGCCTGATGATGCTGTATATTCAGTACTAAATTCTCTCAAAGAAAAGTGCGACCCATCTGGATCTACATCTAGCATCGATTCTTTTGGTCATAAAAAGAAGGGACCAGATACTGGTGTTAATTCAGGTTGGACTAAGTGTATTCTTGGTCTTCTGTTTGTTATTGTTCGTGAGCATATCAAGTCGTTAGACTCAATACTTGCATCTGAGAGGAAATGTGGGATAGAATCAAAGAAAAATACTATCGATGGACAATTGCAGCCGGTCATCGATGTGGATCTGAAAGTAAGTGTTCGTACTGTAAAACCTAAACTAAGCTAGTTCTAAGCCATATTCAAATATTTTGAGATATCGAACCTATCAAATGTTTCTGATCTTAAAGTATGTATTTCTCTCGGTACTTACTGTTTATTATTATAGGTGGGTAATGTTCTGTTTTTAATTTCTTTATAAGTGCACTGAATGTGTACCATGATTTGTATTTTCGTCACATTTGAATTTTTCTAGGACGGAAATTATGCCGCGCTTAGAGTAGATGAAAATAATTTATCAGAGTCTGACGAAGACAAGTCTGAAGAGTATGAAAATTCACTTTCAGATGATGATAGCGATATTAATTCAAAAAATGCAGAACACACCAATAATCACAATTCCGAATGTAAATCAGAAATCAGTGACTCTGAACGTGAACGTAGATCTACTTTAGTACATCAACTAATATCTGAAGAAATTACTGGCCAAAGTAATTTATTCTCTGCTTACAAAATTCAAGGTTCTGAAACTGATTGGGCTGAAGCTGTAGTAGGACATGGAGCTGATCTATCTTCACTTACTGTTAAATTACCATCTAATCAAAAAATTAACAATAAACGGTAAGTAGTAAGTTTCGCATTAAGTCGCTTCATTTGAAAACATACTAATGTTTCGTATATATTTCGCATAATTACTTGGGACGATTTGAGAGATGATATAACATTATTAAATCTTACATTATCAATGCAATTCAGTCTTATGAGTTTCATACATCTTCATCTAATTGTTCTTGTCAAGCATGAAATTCCAACGGAGTTATTATATCTTCGAGAAAAAAACAAATTTATTTCTTTTGGTTTCGGATCGACATAGTCAGTTTATTTATTATGGGAGCACATAATAATTTACTCCGCCTATTGATTAATTTATATATATATATATATATATATATATATATATATATATATATATATATATATATATTGCTTGTATGATCAGTGACTTATTCACTATGATTACCTTTTAAATCTTCTCTTACATAGCAAAAATAATTTCATTAGGATTTATTGTTATTTCTCTTTGGTAGATTGATATTAATTATAAATTCCAGATATTTATTTAACATATTTAGATAATTCCGTAATAATCTTTTGTTAATGACTTGTTTATATTCCCTGGAAAATCTTATATACTGATTTACTGAGAACAATTTTAATTTAAATCACTTGTGTGACGAAAACATTTTTCTTGCTTAATAGAAGCATAAAACGTATTTCTTGTTAAAGACAATGTTATTTCCATGAGTTATAGTAACCCTTTCTGTTATTGTTATTCTTTAATTTAATAGAAAAGATGCACTGCAAAGTAAATACCGTATCTTCTGGTTTTTATACTGTTTCAACTTCAACATTTTATGTTTTCGTGTATGATTCAATTCTTTCACAGTTATTAATCTTAATCTATCTTTTTGATAAAATATTCAAGATCTTAACAAATGCTTATTCAGTTTCTGATTAAGAATAACATTCTTGTGTGTTTATTTATTCCCCTCTGTTACATGGATCAGTAAATTTTTATCACTATTTTTAACAGATATATTCTGACTTATTGTTTTGCGGCTATATAGCTTTGAAAGTGAATTTATTTAATTAATCCTTTTTGGTTATTTTATGTCAAGATAAGTGTATTCCGTTTATTTGGAAATTAGAAGAACCCTATGACAATGAAGAAATTCAACTGGTCTTTAAGTTACTCTATTAAATTTACTGATGTGAATACGAAAATTAACTTTCTCACTGACTGCAAAATAGTATAAATATCCTAAATGTTATTACAAAATATTCATCACAGTTCATATATATCTGATCTCTCAAACGATGCACTATGGAGATCATTATGTCGTTTCTTAACTTGTCTATATCTTTTTTTTTAATTTTGCTTTTCCTAGAAAAAATAAAGATCAACAATCTTGTCACTTCGAGAAGAAAAAACATAAAAGAAAAATTAAATTGACTAAATCGAAGCGTCAAAAGCTGACTTGATTTGTGAATTATTATTTTCTTGTATACAATAATGTAAAGATTTAAATATATAGTCGACTATGTATCCCCGACTTTTTATTTTTCATGTAACATTTTGATGGGATGATTTAATCGGACTTATCCAACACATTACTGATTATCTTATCATTTTTCGTTATCACTTTCTAAGAACTGATGAATGTGAATGTTAAATGGGTTTCGAAATCTTATCTAATGTTGTTCATTCAGTATTTTTGAAAGTTAACCTATGTAATGGAAAATTTCAATTTATTATCAGATAGAACTATCTCCATGCTATTTTAGCCTTCGTTTTTTTAAAAGATACACTTATCTATCATATGATTCGACAATTTCATTAAATTGAAAGTTTTTACTAAGTTTGAGACATCAGTAGATATTGAAGTTAATCATTGTTTTTCTTTGTTAGTTATTAAAGTTTAGTTACTTCCGCTCCATCTTATCCAATCACGTCATTTTATTTCGCTTGTACATGTAGGTATTCGTCTGTAAGTCTTTGTATAAGACAAGCCATTTTGGTTCCTCCAAGCCAATACTGTCTCTTACTTATTAATTTGGCCATTTTTCGGAAATTACGTACATTCCTTGATTCTCACATTTAATAGACTTATTGACCACCTTGCGATAAATTTTTTCTGACCTCATCTTTTTTATGATTGGTCATTATTGTCAAGGTTACCTCTACTACTATTTAGTCTATTGGACTAAATAAGTTATGAAACGGTTGATCAAGCTTCTTCCTTTCCCAACTTCGATATTTTAGTGACAGTTACTAAAAATGGATGAAGTAAACTCTCATGTGCTTTATCTACCTCGTAAGTAATTCGAAACGTTTTTCCTATAATCGTTTTATTGTAAGTCGTAGATTCGAAAAGACTAGTTTCAAACTCACCTCATCAGTTCTCCATAAATTGTTAAGATAAATTTTCATGTGTATTTACCAAAGCTGTATAATATCATAAAAATAACAGTGACTTCAGTTCTTGAGTTCACACTTTTTGTTTGCGTTATCTAGTGGCACAATATTATAATAAGATAAACTCATAAAAACTTTATTTAATAATAAATCTGAAGAACACGAAAGTAGGTTACCAGTTCCAATAATTTACTTATATAATTGTTGAGAAATTTCCATTATATCAAAACACAATTATATGAACGAGAGATATTCTTTTCAATAATTTATCATCAGGTTCTACAATTATATATCCAGATTAATAATTCATAGAATTGGCCAAGGCAGAGTATAACATTTCAAAATTGTAACATATAAATCAAGAATTGTTTGTTGTGTAAAATCAAATCAAATTGTTAATGTTGGAATGACTAATATGAAGTGTTAACTTGAATGAGTTTACAAATGAAATGGAATTGTGACATACTTGATCATTATTAATGTGGTCAACATGGGGTGAGAGAGAATAATGTTATTATGTATATTGGAAACATTATTTTTCGTCATAAAGCTGCAAATAAGTATATTTATGACATTTTGTTATGACTGTTACTATGCTGGTTAAGGTTACCAAAGTTTTGTACTGGAATAATAGGGTTCAAATGCGAGCTCAAAACCATCGACCGTTTTGAATTACTACACTGAAAAATATTTGTCAGTTACACCACTTCCCATATCTTAGCGGATGTTTTTCTTGAGACAATGCATTCCAACCGTCTTTCCAAAATCATCGATACTGAGAAGTCCTGAGCAATGTTTTATATCTATTTCACACATCTATACTTTGAAAATTCCGAATAAATTTATGTGAACCAGAGAAAAATGTGTCTAAGTATATGAATCACTAGTTTTCTAATTATTTGTGGTCGTTTGATGTCTAACGAACTATTTACTCACAACTTCATTATGACCGACTTATCTTCTGTTAAATGCAACACAATTGTTATAATTACGCCCGTTACTTCACGTGGAGGAGCATAAACCGCCCGCTAGCATTCTCCTTCGAACTCTGTTTCGGGAAACCCTTTCCAGTTGTTAATCACTTTTGATGTCGGCTTCTAATTCCCGGTTCAATGTGTTCCTTAGTCTTCCTCTTTTCCTCCAGGATCCCAAGTTAGCGCTCGCTTCGTGATGCAGTTTTGATGATTTGCTCAATACATGTCATATCCACTCTGCCCGTAGGATTACTACCGGTCACAAGCGCGGATAAACGAGGAGGGTTGACTATGGGGTCAGCAACTCCATCCCGTAGAAAACAACCTTGTTAGAAAAACGCCAGCCAGAATAGACAAATTAAACTCTACTCTGAAATTTGAGGGATGTTTTAGAGGAATTATAACGCCTCATGGTGAAAGCCGAGACTCTTCACAAGGCCGATGAACATTTTAACAGCCAGAACAACAATTAATATAGGTATATGGAATGTTCGGACAACATAGGCGACCTAGAAGACCAGTCTAATAGTTACGGAAACGAGAAGACAAAATTCGGCGGTGCTCAGTATAAGGGAAACTCATTGGACCTGAGCTGTAAAGGCTGTATGTTATAGGGTATATTTACTGTGCAATATTATTAGTGCCATATATGGGTTGTGAAGTATAGCTATTTAAATTGAAGAACTCACCGAGGAGCAAATAAAGTGTTTTTGAAATCTTATCATATGTCTGTGGACTAAAGTACTTCTAAACGTCTTTTATTAAATGAATTTAGTCGCTTAGTTAAGTTGCGGAATTCCAATGGTTGGAGTGTCTGATAAATTCGCAGTTTGTATATAATCACCACCTAACTTACTGCTTTGTTACCTGGATGGATTGTAGCTTGGCAAACGCTGAAGTTAGTCAGACCGATAAATCTATTTACCGTTAACGGAATGACTAAATTGTATCGCTCGTAATCAGTCATACTGCTGCAAACAAGTTATTGTTTTTTCTTAGTCTGGAACATTTTATTTACTTGTCTTTACCTACCGTTTTTGAATGTATTGTCTCTTTATTGATATTTATCTTTTAGTTTTACCTAATTCACGAGTACACACTTAAACTAGTATCCATTCTCTTTTGTGACTTTCTGTCTACTTTAGTATCTGCATTGATTATTTTGTGTGGTTCTGATTACAGTTTAGGATATGTAGAATATTTCATGAATTTTAGGTTAAGTTGGTAAGCGTGATTGAAACATCATTAACTTTAGTATTACTGAAGAAAAGTTTAAATTTTGGATAGAATCATGGTTTCCGTGTTTGTAATAGTATTCAAGTGAATTGAATTAGTAACTAGTCTGAAAAATTAATAAATAAAGCTTGGTCAGATATACGAAATAAACAACATGATATTGATTACGATTGAATAATCAATATACTCTTATCTTGTATATGGAGTTCCAATCAACATGATTTAGAAAAAAATTATAAATTTTAATGTTTGGAACCAGAATCTTAGCTCATTTGTGTAGTAAATCATATCACTTTATGAAGATGTATTCATCAGGAACTGGAGAAGGATATGTTTTCAATTTAATATCATGTAGTTTTAGGGTATATAATGTGTTAGTATATCTTAGGAAATGATAATAAACACTATATAATCCTATTTATTAATATTATGTACGTGGTATTCATATCTTTCAGCTGATAATGTCACCAATTTTTGGTTTTATGCTGTCCTTGCAGCAATGATAATTTTTTCATATTTTGTCGTGAGAGGGATTAGAGAGATTTAGTAAGTTTATTGTTTTCAGTATAATTAGTCAAAAACTAAAATCACTGTTGTGGTAGACACAATAAGTGTAAATTGCATTTATATTTACGATATATCATGACAACTTTGACCAAGAACCTAAAATTTTTCCTCTATACGTGGAAGAAATAGTATTTTACTATTTCTCCAATTAGTGTATCATTTTACAGATTTATCTGTTGTGACACAGTAACTATGGATCTTTTAGCCTGGGAATCTAAAGATGATAAATATACATTATTTCTTTGGCATTCTACTGGTCTCCAAAGTGACTAATTTCCTCATCTTTTTAACAAAACACAGTGTTTGTTAGACATGTAACCTATTTCTGAGATTTAGATATTTTCTGCCTTATATGCATAAGAAATTCGTGCGGATTCGCACGGTACTTCTTTCAACGTAACTACAATCAGACTAATTCTATTTTAAGGCTAATCTACTCGTCCTTAGTTACCTTAATTTACTGAATTTTTATTTTCAAGTGTAAAACTGTTATTTTAAACTAACTCACTATTTAATCATATTTTATTTTTCTTAGTTTTGAAACAATAACCCCAAATTTATGTCGTGTTCACCAATCCCATAAACCAACAAGTTATGGTTCTGATGAGAATGGAACGAGAACTGGTCCACACTCATGATAAACTGCCTTTAATTTACTATTTCAGTCGATTTATTTTTCGTTATGTATTTAAATCGTTTAACAGTACCGGTCTTGCCATTTCCCTTTCAATTTATTTGTAAGAAGATAGATATTTTCCAACTACCTTGTTTCTGAAAATATTACTGTTAGGGGGAACATTTATTTATTGTCATTAAAGCTACCGTTCTGAATATGTATATTTCATTCATGAAGAGAATTATTCATTTTTCAAGGTATATACAATATATTTCAGTAACAAAACATACACTTTATTTTATGAAGTGATCATTCTCAATGTTTCTATCAAGGTCTCAAATAAGCTTTTTTCTTATTGCCTCACCAGGCAATAGCACATAAGTTCAGGTAATTTTTCTATTTTCCGAAAATGACACACTTGACTTTTTTATCTCTCGTATGCCTACAGGTTATAAGGTAGTACATAATAGTCAGTCCAAATATTATCAAATGGTTACATCCGCCGAACAAATATTGGTATATAGTTTGTCAGTTTAAAGTAGCTGATATTTCTGGTTGCAGTTTGCTGGCAAAAATTTTCATTGTATTTTACAAATATGTCTCAGACTGTGAACCCTTCAAAATTATCGGGCAACAGTGGTATGACAAATGAAAGTGAAAATAAACTACAATTATCTTCAATGCTTATATGTATTTCTAGATCTATACACAATCTTCGCCTTTAACTGTGACCTATATTTCATCTATAAGCAGATGCTTAAACTGTAACCACATACGTGTTCTTTGCCATGGGATTAAATCTAGCGCCTAACTAGAAAACTTCGGGAAAGGAAACTTAATGCATAGGGAAGTGCATAATCTGTTTCTTGCATGATAGAAATAACTGGATTATCTATATAATTATGATCCACAAGTTAGAATTAGAAAGGAAAAATAATTTTGTGTATTACTCAACAAACTATCTAGCATCATATTCTATCTTCACTCTTGTGTTTCACCTATAGTTATTTGGAGCATCAAATACATTTTAGTTGTGTAACATTTGACTCATTTATAAACACGGAAATTTGAGTACTGGTGTGGAGAGATACAAGTGTCAGTCTTAACGTAGATTACTACAAATTGTAAGTTGAATAATTAGCTGTTATTAAACTACAAGTCTTTACGTTACTCATCATTTCACGAGCGAGTAAATTAACTTGACCTCAGCATGCCATTTTTGTAATACGAATTCTCACTGTTTACTTGATGATTCTACAACTTGAATTCCTTTTACTGGTCTCGAGTACAGCTCATTCAGAATTCCAAACTTCAAATAAAATTCTCTTAATGGTGTGATCGAATCAGTAAATTTCTCACGGATATTTTTGTACTAGGCCCTAAAACTGAAATAAAACGTTATCACCTCAGAGAAGAATGTGACACGAAATGTTGTGCTCTTGATTTTAGTAATCACAACGTTTCTGTTTGCACATTGGTGCTTACGATTGGTAATGTGAATTCCTGCTATACTATAGTTTAACAGTCTTTCGACGAGCAATTTTTCTGGCCACAAATTCCTGCTTCATAAATATGCATAACTTGTATTTATTTTTTGAAAAGAAGATGAGGTTGAATAATAGCTCAAGTGTCATTTTAATTTTCCTCAGCAAGGTTTGAAACAACATTTTGAAAATGACTTATTATCAAACACTTCTTGTCTCTTAATTTTGCCTGCAACGATTTAGCCTCACTGCATAGATTCCTAATATCATCCGTGCAACTGTTTTCTGCCTGTATATGGCTTCTAAAAGCAGAGAAAATTAGTCAAGTTACAACTAACTCGAAACTAACAAGTGCACACCTTAAAGCATCCACTATACCACTGACATTGTCTGCTAGAGTAGTTGCGTTATAACATAAACTGCTCACAAACTTTTATCACACTTCTCAACATCTGAAATATTACAGTCGTTAAGTAATGTTTGTGGTACAATAGTGGGTTTTTCTTCTTCATGATCATTATTAGGAATAATTCTCTTGTGGTCATTATTTTCTGTTGAAAAACTAAATAGAACAAGTATTAAGTGGTTCGAAGTGAAAACCTGCGATGCATATTTGCACGAAAACAGAGAAAAGATTTAAACGTCTCTGAGTCGCTTTTTGCTGGTTTAAATGTTTCAATATGCAATTCAATCTATACACTTGGAGTCAGCTTGAGTTATGTCTCACGAATCAGGATTTGGTGAATTATTCTCAATATTTAACAACGACGATCAATCGAAGCCTCAAGGCAGGTGCCTAATTGTTTGGGACTAGGCATGTGGTGTTGGTAAATTATTACGCGGGTTTGTTCTGAATCTTTGATAACACACCATTACTAAAACTAGAGAGTTTCGATGGCTTCTTTCGAATAATTTTGTATGGTAAATAATAAAAGGTTGTGACCTTAGTATCAGCATAATTTAACCTGCTATAGTGAATTTCCAACTTCAGATTCATATTTATTTAGTAAGGACAGAAAGTCAACAGCTTGTTATTCCTTTTCTAGTATGCTTCTGTGAGTGTCTAATCTTCTCTTGGATGAGCCAATTGAAGGTGCAGACACCAAGGCTTAGGGTGAAATGTTCCGGGAATTGATGGATCAGCGTGAAACCTGTATGTCATGGTTAATTTTGTCGTTCTTGTATTTTCTAATCGCCTGCCATGTTCCCGGAGATGTCCGGATCTAGTGGGGCAAAAAAGCAGTGATATACTAGATTTAAAATCATTTTTTATTATCTTATACATTAAAATAAGAACACCTCTTGATTTGCGGTGGGACAGGGTAAAGAGTGCTGTCTTTTCAAGCCGCTCTTTGTATGGTAAACCCCGAAGTTCTGGAATTTCATGGTTAGCTGCCCTCTGTGTTTATTCTAGGATGTCCGAGCCATCTCTTAAACATAGGAATGCAGTCAGAAGGCAGTTATTAGGCTTTGTTCTCACTAAGGGTATCTATACTGCAGTGAACATGGTTGTTTCCAGATTTGTAGGTGCTAGTCTTAAAGTTTATATGGTCCTAAACTCCTTTGCTGCAAACTTCCGGCAGTGGGACACGGTCTTAATTCCATGACTCGTTGTCACCACAAGGTCCTTGTCAGACCGATATGTGGGCAATAACGTTTGCACTCTGCCATACCTATTTACCTTTATATCCCCAATGTGCATGTAGACACAAGTTGCCTCGTCAATAGACATCAGTTACCTCTAGACAAGCTAATCACAATATTTGAGTCTATCTTAAGTGCGCATACATCTGAGCCTCCCAATAATTCTCGCCAAATTTTTACGTAATTAGCGTATAATAACATTGGGGACTCAGCTATACTTGGGAGTTCATTCACATGCACCATAAAAGTAAAGGACATAGGACAGAATCTTGAGGTACTCCACCAAGTACTGATCTACAGGTAGAGCACTTAGAATTCGCTCTGACTTTCTGTCTACGAACTACCGAGAAATCCTCAAACCATTTTAGGAGAGTTCGGGAAATGTCTAGACTTTACAGCTTCAAGAGCAGTCTATTTATTGTCATCTTTTCAAATGCTTTACTGAAGTTTATGTATATGAATATCCACTGGTTTTGCAATGTCTAGCGCATTTCTCGATTGTTCTCTTGCTATAAAGAGATTTGTTGTGTTAGATAATTCTTCCCTGACACCACGATTTTCATTGTTTAACAAGTTGGTTCCCAAGAGTGTCATGGTCTTTTGACTATCCTTTCCAGTATGTTAACTTTGACACTGGTAAGACTGACAAGTCTGTTGTTTGACAGAATTCGTATTGATCTCGCTTTATGTATTGAAGTGACGATTTCATTCTTTCCGTCCGTAAGTAACTAACCTTGGTCAAGTGACATATCAAATATCATGAGATTTGTTTCAGGATTTGAGAATACAGTTTACCCTGTCCTGTTGATTTTCTCTATCTGAAGTGCGAAGAACCCTAAGTAAATCGTCTCGACCAAAGTCCACTCTGAGCAGCTGATTTTGTGATCTTTAATATGGGTCTAGTTCTTCATCGAGAAGAAAATTCTGATTGGAAACTGTCCCGAAATAGTTTGTCATAGCCTCTGCTTTCTCTTGATCATCTTCTATCATTTCAGACCCACTCAATTCACTAAATAGACTGTGAATCCAATGCGGAGTTCTTGTTTTGTAATTTATGTATGAGAACAGTCTCTTTGGCTGCTTGATTTCCGATTGAACCAACCACTTCTCATTTTTTTTACTGACCTGCATGGATTGTGACTATACAGCTTTTGTGCCAACCTTTAGCGTTTTATCGCACTTTCAGTGTCAAGGTTGATGGAGATGTTCCGAAATTTCTCCCTTTGCAATGGTAAACGTCGAACAACTTAACCCATTCAGGGATAGCCGTGTTTCTTCTTCTTTGTGACCGTCCAGGGAGTACTTGATTGTATAACTTCCGGAGATAAGTCCATGCTGAATCACTTATTTAAATTTCAGCCGAAACTGCAGAGTTGATCGCCTATATGCCTTTCTTCCATAAGTTTAGGGCTGGTGTAACTACTTGGCAAGCTAGTTCAGCCATGAACTTGAATGAGATGACTTCATGATCACTTCTTCCTAAAGCTGAGAGGAAAGTTACTTGATTGATATCATCACCGTGTGTGAAGATGAATTTCGAGAGAGACGAGGAGTTATGTAGGTCATATCGCGAGGGATCTCTACTATGCTGGAATAAAACTAAGGCGATTTTGACATCTAACAATTTGTGTGGCTAAGTTCATGCTCACGTCTAGTTTTTGGTTCTTTTTCAGAATATCCCACTAACTTGTGAAAAATGACTTATCTGTCAGTAGATTTCGTTTTAACGTGATTCCTGAAGTCTCCTGGTCCTTACTATCCATTTTGACGTGAAACACATAGGTCTCACTCTGATTCCTTACTTTTCGTTCCTGACTGTGATTTTAAGCTGATCATTTACCTTGATCACATCATCTACACCACTCAGGCTTTGCTTCCCCCATATTCTGTTTTGCGTTGATATATGAATCCGGAACTGATACCATAGATTCACATACCTTAGTGCTGTTCATGATTTGTTTCTTCTCAGCGAGCTTTTTGTTTTTCCCTGTAACAATATCTACGTCTACATGCCTTTTTTCCGTTTCTCTAATGCAGTCCTTCTTGAGGTTTACACTTAACTGCGAAGCAAGATTAGCTATTTCATCAAAAACTGAATTATGCTGTTGTGTACTGCAGCTCAATCGCCTCAAGAATCATCATCGACTTTGTAGAACAGCTCGCTTTTCACAACCAACGTGATAGTGGATTGTGTCATTTTCTATATGCAGCTGGTGTGAGTCCAGTTTACAAATTTCGATAACGCTTATTGCAGTTGTCGCATTACATCTCATTATCGACCAAGAAATAGCATGACTGCCTGCCACGAATTTATTTGTTTTCCATAGTGAATAGTTTAATTAATACATTCTGCGTTACGAATTATTATTACTTATGAGAGTTGAGGTAGATCTCACCTACATTAAAAATATCTATATAACCTTCTTTCAGATTGTGAGAAGCTATTACATAAAGACACTTCCCTGTACAACATTGCTGGTTTTAAAGAATTATAGGTGTTGCTAGGTGAATTTTGATTATTTATGATGTTTTAAAAAAAGTTAATCAATCGCAACGGTGTTGACAGTTTTGATGAACTTCACACTTTTTCTGAGATATTATGACATTCTTTTTCAAAAGCTAAATTTATATCACTGTAAATCACCAACGTAGATGATCTATGTCGAAATGATTGGAGACCTACTCGAATTTGACGTGAATGGTGTGACAAACTAGCTAACGTTGAAGTCACACCTCGTGGTCAGCACCTTACGTGGACTACCCCATTGACGTATCAAGGTACCATAGATGCTTTGAAGACTGTACAACACAGAGGACGTTATTACAGAAATATATTAGTTAAAGTAGATACAAGCGAAAGTAAGACCACTGCTGCATGGGTCAGTCCATGGCATACGATTAACTAATGCACATTGGTTGTCCTTGACCTTGAGAGGATCGATGATTTGCTCGATAATCAGTGACCCAACTGCCGGATGATTTGGCTAGGGCTCAGTGACATTCCACTGGCCCTACAATACTCCCCCACCAGATTCAACGGCCGTTTGAATCAGTACCAAACATGTTGGGAGCAGTCGCGCGCCGGAGAGTGCAAAACGAATATTATAAATCCTCCAGGTATTGCTTATCTGCAAAACAAATGAAAAGGAGGCGGCAGAAACTGGTCGGAAAACAGCGAGTCATGATATCTTAGTAGGACGTTGCTTAAACGCAAACTGATTAACCATAGAAATAATGAAAAGAACAAAACGTTTTATTGTTCTATCAAGTCGCGCTGAAATATATAGCCTTGACAAGTAATTCAGTTCCTCTGATGACAAACGTTAAGTTTGCCGCAAGAGTAATGATGCTATAGCGATAGTAGGATAAGTGTATTATCAATCGATGTCCATGTTTGTACTGTCATTAGTTTAAAAATGTAAGTCGGACAGTGTCGTTGACAGCTATTAATTAGTGTCGAATTCTAGTTATATCTATATCTAACAGACTAACCGTAAGTAAAGAAGTATAACCGTGAAGAGTGGTCGTGATTTCGTTGTGTGAAGCTATTGACCAACTTGTAGTCAGAGTTTGAAAAGTCGATGACTGCTGTTACAGTCAGTAAGGGTTGAAGGCTACAAATCGACAGCAAAGGTGGCACGATGAAGTCTCTAAAAGATGATGAACGGTGAGTGCTGTGTGTTTGTTCGATTAGTGAACAGAAATATATCGAAAAGAACATAAGAAACCAAGAGTATCGCTCTGGACTCATGTCAATGATACCAAAGAAAAACGCTGTCAGTGTTGGGATAGAGACGACAATGTCGTTTTCAGTTTGCAGGAGATTCGCTCGACTGCATAAACTGATGATTCGCGCGAATGATAATGTCATCAGACCACCAATTGAACTGGACAGGCTTTAAATCGTCGAGTAGTTGAACAGCCGAATGATATACCGAAATCATCTGTTAGATAACAGCCACGAGGAGATAATACTTCATAAAATGAAGTACGACATCGAAGTAGAATAACTACAATAGCTCGGATGTGTCAAATCTAAATAACATCGTTCTTACGTATACTAACAGTTGCACTAAACGGTCGTTTAGGTATTATTAGCGTAACAGTTGGATGTGTAAATAAAAACATACGAAAACTATGGTTGGGTTCGTGGAGATTTTTCGAGGACGTTCCAATATTTTCCAAACCCGTATTATATACAAATAAACTGAAAATAGAATTAAAATGACTGTCGTGTAATAAGGAAATCGAGCCATGATTTACCGTGTGAAATAATAGCAAATACGAGTATAATAAACATTAATTAAAATGGTAACCACCAATGTAACTAAAGTTTAGAAGGTTCGGGTAACGTGGCCATTTCGTAAAAGGCTTATACAAAGAGTTTGTTGCCTAGCGTTAAGTGACATATTAAGTACGACAACGTGTGTACTTAGGATATGGGCTAAGCGTACTCGTGTACATGCAATATGTTTTACCACAGTATGTCGGCTAACGAGTCATAAATATACATGATTTCGACTAAAACTTGACGGCAGTGACAGAATATGACTACTTTACGTGAAAGCAACTACGAAATGTTACCACGCATCATAAATATAGTACGAAATAATCTAATGAAATTATGAAACTCGCCTGGGTTACTCTTGCCTCTAAGTAATGAAGATATGAAATAGGCAGCAGTTTGAATCCGGATTATGTACGAGGTACTGTTGATTAAATTGTTCGATAAACACAGCGTTGTAGACGTAAATTTCTAGCATTCGTACTCTCTGTTTGGCCATGGAACTCAGCAATCGGAAATTAGGCAGGCGGTAAAAAAAGCAAAACATTCTAGTGGATAGTGGTTAAGCAGAAAGATGAATTTATAGTCGATGGTTAATCTTGTCTTATTTATACCAGTGGATAAGTTACAAACAGATATGCGTTCGTGCTGCCTTGTGGCTATACTGACGAGTGGTTTATATTTTAACAGACATATTACACAGTGGCATTTACATGCTGCTAATGCTTGTTAAAGAACCACGATAGCCGATTGTAAGCGTAGTTGATTAGTTAGTTCTATCGATTGAACTGATTATTTAGGTTTAAATGCTAATCAACATTAACATGAAGCAACGAAAGATCACAGTGAAGGATTAACATAGGCGATGATAAAAATGAAGAAGAATAAGTATAGAATGCAATAATAAAGATTATAGTGATAGGTTGCGTTATTCGAAGTCTTGCTCATCAGTGTAAATCACCAACGTAGATGATCTATGTCGAAATGATTGGAGACCTACTCGAATTTGACGTGAATGGTGTGACAAACTAGCTAACGTTGAAGTCACACCTCGTGGTCAGCACCTTACGTGGACTACCCCATTGACGTATCAAGGTACCATAGATGCTTTGAAGACTGTACAACACAGAGGACGTTATTACAGAAATATATTAGTTAAAGTAGATACAAGCGAAAGTAAGACCACTGCTGCATGGGTCAGTCCATGGCATACGATTAACTAATGCACATTGGTTGTCCTTGACCTTGAGAGGATCGATGATTTGCTCGATAATCAGTGACCCAACTGCCGGATGATTTGGCTAGGGCTCAGTGACATTCCACTGGCCCTACATCACCAATAACTTCGGGTCACAGATGCGTAAAAGCTCGCTGAAGAAGTCTTACAGATATGTGATTAAGGACCTTGTTTGTCTAATGAAGCTGCTTTGTTTTGATTGCAACTTCCCCACATGGGTGACAAAATATTCGATCTTATATTTTTTTTCTTCATAATGAGTAATGTAACCAGGGATAAATCTGTTCTGAATAAGTCTTTATATCTCCATTTATGTTTTGGTGACAACATACATTGCCTATCTGATTCATAGCATGAACATCCTCAGTAACGAAATCGGTATGTACGACCTAACCATTCTACAGTGAATTGATATGGTCATAGCGATCTGGAATGGCATATGCATTACGTGTTTTGATAGTAGCGTAGATACCATTGGAATCAAGTAGACCTAACCATAGCAGAACTCCAGAAGAATATTAAAATTTTGACAACGGTATCTTCAGAATGCAAAAATAATACTGAATACGCACTACGTGACTATAACCAGCAACATCCAGCTCACATAGAATGGATTCATAGCTGGATGACGTATGATAAGATCATCGCCTAGGTCAGTATTAAGTGCATTTATCTCTGTTAGTCGAAAAATCAACTAAATGCAAAATTGAATAACTGTCATGACTACCTAATCCATAAGTTCTTAGTGGAAGTCGCATCACTGTCCATACTATAAATCATCCTTATGTGAAAGTTAGCAACATAATGATTAGAACTCATGAAAAACACGTGTGAACTGAGGATATAATATTGTATTTGATGTGGAAAGGAGTACGTTATGTTGTAATAGCATTGTGTTATTCAGTCTTCAATACTGAACACGAAATACTTAAGAAAATAGATGTTCATCATTTAACGCGGAGAAAAACATGACGATGGATAAAGTTGAAACAAGGATTTGAATGAATTCGAATTGGTCGGATTGCATGGCTTGTCCTTGTAGGCGTGGTCCCTGTTGAACGTTACCTTATATCTTTTACCCATATTAATTGTACTGTTCTATCTCCAACATGAACTGAATATGATTCTTCCCAGTTATCGTATGTTAGGCTTCAAGGATCGTATGGCTGGGAAATAATATCACTAATGTGTTATATTCACTCTGTTTCCTAAATACTGTCATAGAATTTCTTAAATTCCCTCTTATTGTCCCTGTACTTATTTATTACCCAAGAATTCGCAAAAATTCTTATCTTCAAAAGCAATATTTCTAAAATAGTGAAAATGAAAGGCACATAGACTAAAATTCATATCCCGTTCACATTTCTCAAGAGCTTTTAACTTACAGATATTAAGATACAGGAGACCATGATCATGGTATAACCCTTTCCTCATAGTTTTTCAGATGGTAATACCGTTACGTTTTCGTAATACAACACTCGGAAATATTCGGTACAAATGTTTCTACGGTTAAAGTCAATGATGTGCAAATGTGAGGTAATAAACAAGTCTCTGCTTAGTTTTTAAAAGCAGGCTCAAGGAGCAATTTAGTTCTTCAGGTAGTCTGTGGGATTACTAATATTTGCTCCTTGATAAATTTTGTCAGTATCTATATTTCTGTACCCCCAGTTTCCGAAAACAATGTATAAAGGATTATATCTTTTCACACTAAAAGTCCAAATGCAACCGTTTAGACGTGAATCTTTAAAACACTAACAGTTCCCCATATCTGGCAAGCCTTATTTAGATCGAAGTTGTTACATTTATTATTTGTTGATATTTTAATTATTTCACATAATTGATGGACTGCAACACGAATTCTGGCTGGTCACATGCAAGAGTCATCTCCTATAAACCAATACAACTTCCCTGGAGGCTGGCTCACATCACACCAATTTTCAAAGGAGGTCGACGCAGCAAACCTCAATGTTAACGACCAGTGGCTCTTCTCTCCATACCTTCAAAAATCATGAAGTCCCTGATATGCAATGGTATAAATGACTATTTACTGTCCTTAAATTTCATCTCACCCCAACGGCATGGTTTCAGGAATGGTTACTCTTGTATTATCAACCTGCTGACTGCGGTGAACAGATGGACAAGCATCCTTGATCACAAGGAGATGGTTGATATCATCTACCTAGATTTCTCACAAACTTTTGATAAGGTTAATCAAACATGTCTTATCAATAAGCTCAAACGATTGGGTATCAGACCACATCTAATTGGTTGGCTCGCTTCATACCTGAAAAATCGACATTTTAAGGTCAGGATTAATTTCACTTTATCTCAGGCTATGGAATGTCCTAGTGGGGTCCCCCAGGGCTCAGCACTAGGGCCTCTTCTCTCCTTGATCTACATAAATGATCTTCCTCAACAGGTAACGTCAGACGTATTACATTTTGCTGACGACGTGAAACTTTGGAGAGAGATACGCAACCAAGACGATATATAAGCACTTCAGGAGGATCTGACTCGACTTCAAAGTTGGGCAGATGATAACGGACTTGCCTTTAACACTTCAAAGTGTAAAGTAGTCCATGTGTGACTGTTGCAGACTACAGTTATAACTTAGGTAACTCCTCTTTATTAGTATCCCAAGTCGAAAAATATTTAGGAGTCCAGGTGCCCTACGATTTAAAGTCTTACGCCAACTGTAACAAAAATATATTCAGAGCAAATCTTGCACTGGGAACATTGGAGCACATTTTTGGCCAGTTTGACGGAAGAACTTCACATATAATCTTCAATAGTCTTATCCATCCCCATTTAGAGTACGGAAACATAGTATTTCCTGCCTCACTCCAAAAGGATAAGGAAACTCTGGAGCGTATCCAACGGCGAGCCACGAAATCAGTTCGAGGACTCAAATTTAAACCTTAAGAAGAGCGCCTCCATTCACTTAAAATTTACCCATTAAAGTATAGACGTCTTAAAGGTGACCTCCTGATGGCTTATAGTATCATTAACACTTCTGGATATCCTCTCAAACACCTACTCAAGCTTAGTTCCAACACTAACCTAAGAGATAACACCAAAAAACTGGAGACACAACATAGCAGGACGGACTGTGGACACAACTTCTACTCCTTAAGAGTTGTCAAATGCTGGAATTCGCTGTCGGTCGAGCCAGTCCAAGCGACTTTCCAGGAGTCCTTTGAGAGGCAACTTGATATATTCTTAATGACTAAGGATGGTATCACTCTATGATTTACTAATTTCTTTTCCACTTTTATTGTTAACATACCTAGGTTCCTGCCTGGAAGATTTGGTGATCTATTGCTACTAGACACGGAAGCCTGTTAAGCGAAAGCCTCTTCTATTCCGTCCACAACCATTTGAATCTGAGTTAGTTTTAAAGAACTTAAAAACTAGGTCAAATAAAATGCGGTATTCTAGTTTTGGTGTGTATTTGAATTGCAATTCATTTTGTAAAAGGTTTACATTACAACGTTGTCGATACCATGATACTATTGCATTATGTTAAATAATTTATTTCAATGTGCTATATCCTTCAGTAGTGTAGTGATTGAACGTTGGAAGGAAATTTGACGACCACACTAGTACCTATTAATGTTACAACTTAAAAACCGTTCTGGCGAGCTTATATGCAGCCATTTCTTTCATTACCATAACGGACATTGTTTGGCCATTTCCAGCCGTCCTGTTTCTCTAACAAAGGTACATGATTCTGTAAGGGCGCAACAAATGGGTTTGGTTTTCTTAATCACCATAAGTCCTGCTAATTACTAATAGGAACTTGTTACCCTTTTAAAATTGAGATTACCATTAACCTTCACAATAAACCATCAAGGTTCTCAATTTTTTGGCCTGTTATCCTCGGATCTGAGCTTATCTTTTATGGTACTAATTGTATACAATTATTTTTCGAGTTTATAAACTCTATATTAGTTCAGAAGTACAGCTTATGTGTTAAATATACCTAGGCTAATGTGAAAGTTTACTTATTTTAATTGCCATGATAACACAAGTGTTACTTCTCAATGCATTTATTCCTTTAATATAGGCTTAGACTATTGATTTTCATTTATTTAGGTCTTCTAATTCTACCTTAACAATGATCGCGCATTGGATGCCATGTAAAATCGAAACAAACGGGATGAAAGTTAATTCCGAACTTCAATGTCTAGAAACATTAAAGTAATTTGTTCTTGTATGACATGTGTCGTTTTTTTATTTCAGTAATGAATCTGGTGCATTGAGTAATCATGTACTGGTTTCAAATTTCCGTGGTAGACCATTACGAGGAGTTCAACTCAGTTTCCCAGACAGTTACTCACCAGTGGTTGTTCACCATAGTGGTATCGTGTCAGACGTTGGAACAGAACCAATAAAATTTGGGGCTAAGCTCGATAAAATATTCCTATGGAATTTGTCTACACCACCAACTTCCTCAGACCCTATACCATTATCTCTCACTTGGCTTCATTTGGCTAGCATTTTGCATTCAAGCTCCTAATATTCGCTGATACATATTGTTCACACTTTTTGTATATCTTGTTATGATGACGATTAATGTTTTACATATCTGTACAACTAAACGAATGATGATCATACAAGTATTTTTTTAACTGATTTTTTGACTTCTTCATGAAGACAACCATTCTTTTTGAGTAGCCTTTTATTTAATTAATGACTAAGCATCATGTCGTGATATTATATAAATGTTAGGAAACATAAATCCAAAGGATATTAAGTGTTGAATATGCTAACATAGAACAATATCTAATTTTTTTCTTGCATCGTGTAGTATATGTGATGCGTTGTTGAGATATTATTGTATTCCCACTATTGAACTATTTTGACATGTTTTGAAATTTGTTCGGATGTAGTTCTAATATCTGTCGATCACTCTTCCATTTAAACATAAAGTTTATAGCCAACATTTGTTTACATTTTTATGACTTTTACGGTTATCAGTTCTTTGGATTAAAAGCGAAAAACGATTAACTGTCATTTTTATGTAGTGATAACTCGAAGTATATTATTGATCACATTGAACTGATTGTTTTTGAGACTATTAGCTGTATCAAGCCAATTTACTATATCGACAGGTTATGGCGGTGTGAGTCAAGTATCAATCTAATATAAATTATGAGTACAAATGTCCTTAGCTACCCGCTGCATAATCACCTTAGCTAAATCCGTAAAAATAAGACGGATAACAATGACAAACAATTTCTTTAAAAATGATTGGGGCAACTCTGTATCATATGTCGAAAGATGTATTTGTCAGACTGCATTTAGAATATACTGTCTAATAATGTATTGAGAGAGAAAAGGCTGTCCGGAATGGTACGAATTGATGAGTATTGTGAGAAGCTTGGTGGGAGTACTTTATTCTCTTGGTTTCATAAGAATGAATGCCTGCGCTCCCACTGACTACAGCCCGGATGAACTGAAAGATGACTTTTACAGGAAGCTTTCTGAATTTCTTCAAAAAGCTAAACACTCAGACAGTACTCGTGGCAGGTGACTTCAATGCCCAAGTATGTAGCTTAAACCAAATAGAAAGACATTTAGGTGGGTATTTTAGTATTCCGGCTCAGCGAACAGATAATGGTGACCGTCTTTTACAACTGTGCTTTAACAATAGTTTGCTTCTAACGAGCACTAATTTTAAGCATAAGGAGAAACATCGTCTAACATGGCGACCGCCTGCACCAAACCAATGATAGACTCAAATAGATCATTGTGCCATCAGTCACTGTCTGAGAGGCTCGATCGCAGGCTGTCGCTCGTTTTGGAGTAAATATTTAAACCCTGATCATGCTCTAATACGAGCACACATTTGCTTGCACCTCACTGGACGCAGAAAAACCACATTAAGAAGATGCATTAGAGTCGAACTCACGAGGAAACCAAAAGTAGATTCCAGGAACAACTAAGGCCACATTTAGGTAGTTCTGAAAACGAGGCTGACCCAGATATTGCTTGCTATGATATACATACAGCGGTAATATCTATTTGAAACAAAGGGTCACGAAATACGATGGGTTTCTACTAAGTCTTTTGCACTGATTGATTCTCGTGAACTCAACCCATCAGGCTCTGAACACGATAAAGAGCGGAAACAAATCAAATCTAGGTTAACCAAAAGTTGAAGGAACGATCGTGAGCAGTGGTGGGCAACGAAAGCAAAAGAGATGGAAAAATTAGCGGCTGTAGTTAACACATGACAACTCTACAGACTAATTAAAGACTGGAATTATGAAGTCAAATGTAAGTGAGACTATCCTGCAATAAGTCGACACTGCTCTCAGTTCACACAGAACGATGGGTGGAAGACTTTAAGGATCAGTTCAGCTACTCTACAACTACCCACCATTTCCAGACAGCGTCGATGAACCATTGAAGCGCCCCCTTGAATCCAGTTGAAGTCCAAAAGGCAATAGTTAACCTGAAACGAGGATGAGCAGCTGCTCCAGATGGATTACCTCCAGAAGTATTTAGGTATGGTGGTCTAGTTTTAGCGATTAGGTCGATTAATAATTTAGCTAAAATCTGGAAGTTGGACGTAATGCCGTCTGACTAGACACAATCACTCATTGTCTCAATATATAAGAAAGGGTTAAAATCATCCTGTGACAACCATAGAAGTATTAGTTTAACTAATATAGCATCCAAAATACTAGCTTCGATAATTATCGGACGCCTAACTAAGACCCGTGAACTGCAAACACAAGAAAATCTGGCTGAATCCAGAACTGGTCGTAGCTGCGTCGACCACATATTCGCTATTCGTCAGATCTTAGGACATTGGTATGCTTATCAGCGTCCACAATGATAGTTTATCTTAAAAGCAGCATTTGACTCTGTAGATCGAGAGGTTGTGTGGCCGTGTCTGTTATTGAAAGGTGTACCTCAGAAGTGAATGATCTTTACTCGGACACTATCAGTCGGACCAGAGCTTATGGATAGTTGTCATCTAATGTATGTTCAAAAGGGCTATCCACTATCTCCCCATTTTTATTCATCATCATAGACATACCGGTCGAAAAAACGTTCTCGTCAACTGAATTTTCGGGCGTCGATCTCCTAACAGGTGGTCTACTTATCGACTTAGAATACGCAGATGACATAGTGCTGATTACTGAAGACGCTGATAAAATGCAGAGTGTCTTGGCAGCATTGAGCAACAACGCCAGGATGTTTGGAATGCGTTTCTTATCCTCTGAATGCAACCTGTTGTTTCAGTACTGGCTTTCGTCAACACGAACTAAGGATAGGGAGTGAAATAGTCAAATGCGTCTATAACTTCGCTTATCTTGAAAGTCTAACCAGCCCTGATGGGTTGGTGTCTGACGAAGTGTGTGCACGGATTCAGAAAGCTCGTTTGACTTTTGCCAAATCAAGTCACCTATGGCGAAGGCGAGATATCCGTCTAACAATTAAGAGGCGAGTTTACTGTGCAGAAGTTCGTTTCGTTCTACTTTACGTCTGAGGAACATGGCCATCAAGGGTAGGAAATGCTCGTAAGTAACTAGTATTTGATCACAGATGTCTCAGAAATATTTCCAGCGTCTGCTGGGATCACAGGGTAAGCAATAGTGAGGTTAGAAGCAAGGTATTAGAGGATGATGGCAAATCAGTTGATGAGGTTGTGAATCTTCATCGACTGAGATGGTTGGGCCACGTGTTACGTATGCCTGAACACCGATTACCACGACGCGCAATGCTGACTGGTGTTGGGGATGGTTAGAAGAAAGTAAGGGGGAGCCAAACCAAAACATAGCATCAGTGCTTGAAGACACTAACTTCTAGTCTGAACCATGTTGGTAGATGCAGACTACTTGGTTGGGGTCTGCGTGACTATCGTAACCAATGGTTGGAGACTCTTGGTGACATGGCTCAGAATCGATCACAATGGCATCGGTGTATACACTTTCTGTCTTCCCTTAAACTAAGAGATTAAAATCGCTTCATATCTTTCTTTCTATGAACTAATTCTTTCTTCCTGTTATATTCTCATACACAATCTTTCTTTTATACGTTAGTACCATTGAAGTGACTACTTCTAAGAATTTGGTGTTGATCTTGTTGTGATAAGGTGTGGCAACTTGGACAGATGCATATATGTACCTGGTCCTACGTTGTAGCTGACTGAATTAGATGCAAAGGTTTAAACCGAGTATGAGTGACTTGGTCATCTCTATATTCCAAGATAAGAAGACTAACTACGGCGATATAAATATTTACTGTCACAAATAATAAAAGCAGTAAAGATTTTCGTTTAGTACAAATAAATTATATGTACGATTGTTTATTATATAAAGTATTTTGGTTTTGTCATTAATTTGACCAGATTGTAATTTGTTGAGCTTTCTTCATTTTGTTCAGTTCTGTTAATTCTTCATTAAAAGCTAATATTGTTAATTTGGTTGTATCCTTAAATAAATTAGTTTGACCTTTCATACATTCTGGTAATTTAAAATGGTCAGATTCATTATTTTTACTGTAAACTAGAAATATACTTAAACATTTTATTGTATAAGTAGTTCGTTTCGCACTGGATGATGGTTCAATTAACAACGTTTGTTTACCAATCCAAAAGTTGAAATTCGACCAATTTCTCAACGATAAATAATGTTTCTTACCACCAGTTAATATTTGATCACCGAATTGTACAAAATTATATTTAGTTAATGTTTTAATTGACCATGGCCACGAATATTTTAAGCGTGTTAGTGAAAACCAAGAATTTACTTGTGCACCATGTGTATCAAATATTAAACAACATTTCACATGACCAATCTGATCAAATAATTCAATCTTAATACTTTGAAAACCAAAAAATAAATTCGATGTTAAAAAATGGTTGATATTTTGCGTATGATAATGTGTTTTGGGTTTATACCAGTTGTTTAATAACTCGTTACGATACCAACAATGGCATAGGATGTTACTTTTTAGTGGAAATGCACTAGGTGGACTGGCTATTTCTTGATACCATAATTTGTTAAATGATAAATTGATGCCTATATCAAGGACAAATAATAATTTGTTAGGCTGTGGTAATAAAATGCCATCATTTTTACTAGGCATTAACCCATATGGTATGACATAAATACGTAGTTCATCAGCTTCATATAATGTAAATAAATAATTTGAAAATTTTGGTGGTAATTGATAATTTAAACTGTCTTCTTTATGTGAATTTATTGGCAATGTATAGAAAATTTTTGGATAATCATGATAATTACTGGTGTTTGGGAAATTATTATATTTTGAATTGATTGCATTATTCCATTTACATCGGGAAATTGCTGAGTTAGAATTGTCAACAATTAATATATAACCTCGTAGAAATTCACAATCTATTCGTTCACTCTTCAACTTTTCAATTGTACTATAATCAACCGATGATAAGAGGACAATATAATTTGGATCAAAAACTACGGAGAATGCTTCATTGCTAAAAATTAAACATTTGTGTAAGATTACAATAAAAAGCGATGT